TCCTTGGCTCAAATTACTCGTGGTGATGCCGCCTTTCAGGACATATGACGTTCGATTCAAAATTTTTTATATTTTAATAGTTATGCACCTCCCAATAATGGACTTTGATGGCTCGGGATAAGAGACTTGTAGCGTCTCAGAGTTTTTTTGAACATGGCCGGAGACGCTACCGCGTCTCCTGATATTGAATGAACTACTTTTTATGCTGCAAGTGACTAATAACGAAGAAACAAATATGTAACATAAAAAATATATAAGGTAAAGCATCTATGTAATTGGAAATCCTTTTCATTTCAAATTTAATAGGTGTCAATGCATTTATTATAGAATGTGTAAACAGGAATATATAAAAACATTCTTGAATACTCACTGAAAACATCTATCATCTCAATATTGTCAATAGAACAGTCTTCGCTTTGTATCTCAATTTGAGTATTTTGACAATTGCTCAAATTCAACATTTTATCAAAATAAGCTTCCATATTAATATCTAACATAAAGAAAAATATATCACTATTCTGTTTGATGATTAAACAGCAATAGCAAAAAATATCAATATTAATTAAATATACCATGAGATATCAGACCAGTTTCTTCAAAATTGCAATTTTCTTTTTCTGTTTCGGCTCCATTATTCCCTATATTCTCATTGGACGTTATCGGTACATACATCATTTCAGTATCACAGTTTGTGTTTTGCTTTTCAGTCTGACAATTGTTTTCATTTTCATCGATAGTTACCTTACTGATATCTGAAATCAAAAACATATTACGATTCCATGATAGTTACTTACATTTTCATAAGTGAAAACCATCGTGTTAATACTTCTCATAAAAAAGGAAATAATCTTATGATACAATAGTAATTAAGGATTAAAGAATAATGCGTAAAGGAATAACAATAATCAAAATTTAATTGAATTAAAGACTCTTATGTTTCTCACAAGACACTAAAGGTTTATCATGGATGGTAACAATTTAATCGACAAAAGCCTCCATATTAATATCTAACATAAAGAAAAGTATATCACTATTCTGTTTGATGATTAAACAGCAATAGCAAAAATTATCAATATTAATTAAATATACCATGAGATATCAGACCAATTTCTTCAAAATTGCAATTTTCTTTTTCTGTTTCGGCTCCATTATTCCCTATATTCTCATTAGACGTTATCGATAAATACATAATTTCAGTATCACAGTTTGTGTTTTGCTTTTCAGTCTGACAATTGTTTTCATTTTCATCGATAGTTACCTTACTGATATCTGAAATCAAAAACATATTACGATTCCATGATAGTTACTTACATTTTCATAAGTGAAAACCATCGTGTTAATACTTCTCATAAAAAAGGAAATAATCTTATCATACAATAGTAATTAAGGATTAAAGAATAATGCGTAAAGAAATAACAATAACCAAAATTTAATTGAATTAAAGACTCTTATGTTTCTCACAAGACACATAAAGATTTATCATGAATGGTGAAAATTTAATCGACAAAAACCTCCACATTAATATCTAACGTAAAGAAAAGTATATCACTATTCTGTTTGATGATTAAACAGCAATAGCAAGCATTATCAATATTAATTAAATATACCATGAGATATCACACTAGTTTCTTCAAAATCGCAATTTTCTGTTTCGGCTCCATTATTCTCTATGTTCTCATTGAACGTTATCGGTAAATACATCACTTCAGTATCACAGTTTGTGTTTTGGTTTCTAGTCTGACAATTGTTTATATTTACATCGATAGTCACCTTACTGATATCTGAAATCAAAAACATATTACGATTCCATGATAGTTACTTACATTTTTATAAGTGAGAACCATCGTGCTAATACTTCTCATAAAAAAGGAAATAATCTTGTGATACAATAGTAATTAAGGATTAAAGAATAATGCGTAAAGGAATAACAATAATCAAAATTTAATTGAATTAAAAACTCTTATGTTTCTCACAAGACACTAAAGGTTTATCATGAATGGTAACAATTTAATCGACAAAAGCCTCCATATTAATATCTAACATAAAGAAAAGTATATCACTATTCTGTTTGATGATTAAACAGCAATAGCAAAAATTATCAATATTAATTAAATATACCATGAGATATCAGACCAATTTCTTCAAAATTGCAATTTTCTTTTTCTGTTTCGGCTCTATTATTCCCTATATTCTCATTGGACGTTATCGGTAAATACATCATTTCAGTATCACAGTTTGTGTTTTGCTTTTCAGTCTGACAATTGTTTTCATTTTCATCGATAGTTACCTTACTGATATCTGAAATCAAAAACATATTACGATTCCATGATAGTTACTTACATTTTCATAAGTGAAAACCATCGTGTTAATACTTCTCATAAAAAAGGAAATAATCTTATCATACAATAGTAATTAAGGATTAAAGAATAATGCGTAAAGAAATAACAATAATCAAAATTTATTTCAATTAAAGACTCTTATGATTCTTACAAAGAACACGTAAAGGTTTAACATGAATAATAAATATAGGGCTATTAAGAGTCAACGCTATAATGGGTGCGTATAGTATCTAAGTATATATGTATATTAATAATGCATCATACAACAATTTAATATACAAAAGTTTGAACGTTTCGGTCCTATTTCTGGACCATTATCAGTGATAATATAAAAAAGTTAGAATTCAAACTATAGTTGGAGAAACCGATGTTAATAAACCGATGTGAATAAAAATTGTATCATCCTCCAATGCTTCAACAAATGCAAGCATATCACTTGATAGAGTAAAGTTTTAAAATAGAGTATCTAAATGCGTGTCTCTGTTATTCAACAAAGATGTAACACCATATAATGCAGTCGAATATAAAGCGAGAATTATAAAAACATGATGATATTAAATTCACTGACAAATTCTTATGCAATGTCTTATTTAAAGTAATACCATCATGTTTTTTTTATAATTCTCGCTTTATTTTCGACTGCATTATATTATGTTGTGTCTCTGCTAATCAACAGACACGCATTTAGATGCTCTTTATTTTACATCTTCACTCTATCAAGTGATAGGCTAGTCTCTGTTGAAGCATTGGAGGATGATACAATTTTTAATTTATGGCTTATTAACATCGATTTCTCCAACTATAGTTTATATTTTAATTTTTTTATATTATCGCTGATGATGGTCCAAAAAATAGGACCAAAACGTTCAAACTTTTGTATATTAAATTGTTGTATGATGCATTATTAATATTATATACACGTTAGATATATTAATAATATATCTAACGTAATTAATAATATAATCGACACTACGCACTGATTGCAGCGTTGACTCTTAATAGCCCGATATTTACTATTCATGTTAAACCTTTATGTGTTTTTTAATGAATAATTTTAGATATTAGTTAAACGTATGTACAAGAAGAATAATTATATACAGATTAGGAATTAATTAATTAGGGATATTGGAAGTTACTAATAGCTGTTCAGTAGAAGAAACAGCTTTATAATATTTGTAAGTTTTTTCAATACAATCGTTTTGGATTTATTAAAAAATTAAGACAAGAATCAATTATTAAAGGATTTTGCAACATTTGTAAAGCTACTTTTTCTGCTGAATAGAATCAATGGGCGAGTTCAAGACGACAAAGCGGCTAGGTACGCTTACCGAGCGATCAAGTATGATTGGTTGGATCTATAAGTAATAACCAATTATATTCAATCGCTCGGCAAGCGTACGTAGCCGCTTTGCCGTCTTCAACTCGCCCAATTACTTTTAACGTAAGTTGTACATTACGTTCATTGGTTATTAAAAAATACAATTATTGAAAATAAGGAAAATATACAGGTCTCTTAGTATTTAAAATCAAAGATAGGTAAAAGGCAAATAAGAATCAATTATAAAATTGTTTACAACAAATTCATAACATGATAATATCTGTAATAGAGTCTAAGAAATATATAAAAAATTTCCTTACTAATTTCTGAACACGCGCTTGAATACACTAAATTCTAAATTAAAAATAAATAAATAGAAAACATTAAATAGATTACATAACATTTCGGCTCCATATTTGAGCCCTCCTCAGATGTACAATATATTAATTTATTGCGTTAATTAATATATTGTATATCTGAGGAGGGCTCAAATATGAAGCCGAAACGTTATGTAATCTATTTAATGTCTTCTATTTATTTATTTTTAATTTAGAATTTAATGTATTCAAGCGCGTGTTCAGAAATTAGTAAGGAAATTTTTTATATATTTTTTAGACTTTGTTATTAAAGATATTATCATGTTATGAATTTTTTTTTGTTGTAGACAATTTTATGTTGCGGCGCTTGGCTTAGCGCCGAGACACTACCGTGTCTCCATATACTTGACTCTTATTTGCCTTTTACCTATCTTTGATTTACAATTATTGATATAATTAATAATCTTAAACTTACCATTGTATTTATTAGCAATCTTTTCATTATTATAGCATTTTTTACGACATTTATTTTTAAAATAAATATTTTTGCACAGTACTCTTGGTTTATTTATTGATATATTGTGTTTTATTTCTTGTAATATAGTTTTGTTATCTATAATAAAGAAGAAATCATTTATTTCAATATATTTATTTTTTACTTTAATGTATCATTTACTAAATCTTTTCCTTTACACTGATATTATAACATATAATTTTTAAAACAAAAACAAATATATATCAATCGAATCAATTTAGCTTTGAAACAAAATCTACATATTATATATATTTAGGATGATACTCGTAATTGCAAATTGATAATTTGTATTGTCCAACTGATTTGTGTACATATAAGTTTCTTATGAATTGGACAGATCCGCCATTTCTTATTTCCTTCATGATATAAGAGCATTGTTCGTTTTGTCTTTTGGAAGCTGCCGGGGGATTTCTTCAAAAAAATGTTTCTTTGCTATACGATTAAAGAAATATTTCTTTGATTTGAACATAATTTCTTTAATTTAAATACCATTTTTTGAAATCAAATAAAAAAATTTATTTAATTTTTAAAAATGATATTTGAATTAAAGAAATTACGTTCAAATCAAAGAAATTTTCTCTTTAAACGTATATAACAAAGAAATATATTTTGAAGAAACTCTAAGCTTCCAAGAGGCAAAACAAACAGTGCTCTTATATTATGAAGGGAATAAAAAATGGCGAATCCGTCCAATTCATAAAAAACTATGTGTATACCGTGTATACGAATCGGTCAGACAACCTGGAGAGTTAAGAAAAGATTAATTAGTCATATATATAAGTTGTCGTTAAAGAATTGAATTTGTTTACTACAAAGAATGATTGTAGACTGAAAAATAATTAGAGAACGATTAAGTTGTGTGTACAATTGAAGTGAATTATTCGGTATTACAATAACGGAAAGATACGAATAACAGATATAAAAAAGTTTAATACTACACACAAGGCAGATACGACTTTTTAAACTATTTTCTATAGTGGAGTATATTTTACAAATACATGCAAAAATAATAAAATTAAGAATGTATAACTTACCATTTTTCGCTATAATGGCTGCCAGATATTTTCGATTATCACTGTATTTGGCCTTTGTAAGGCCCTTATTAACGGTGATGACGTTTGATTTGCAAACGTAATAAACATCATCGTAAAATTTCACTAACGCATACATATTATATCAATTTTCACTATTACTTTACTCTTTGTGACTAGAAAATACAGCTTGAGACACATTTGCAGACATGTTGAGACACGTTTCGAAGCCGAAAAGAAACCGGAACTTCCTGAAAACGGAAGGAACGGCTAATGTTTTCAGTACATGGCGAAAGCAGAGAGAAACCTGAGATAGGACATGACGACCTAAAACCTGTAACCGCAAAATGCTGCCGCGCACTACTGCCCTCTGAAGAAGTAGATTAGATGTAAACTATACAACAATATCCATCTTTTTACGGCACTCCTGATGGAAATAAATCACTGAAATCGTTAAAATCTTTATTAATTTGATAGATTTAAGTTATTTTAACGATTTCAGCGATTTATTTCCACCAGGAGTGTCGTAAATAGATGGATATTGTTGTGTAGTTTACATCCACTTCTTCAGAGGGCAGTAATGCGCAGCAGCATTTTGCGGTGTTTTGTGTGGTTACAGGTTTTGGGCCGTCATGTCCTTTCTCGGGGTAATGTCCCATGGAGCGGTTCGTGCGTAAGCGGATTAGCGGATCGCCAATCACAGAATCGTTCTGTTAGATCTGTTTACAAATTTTGCAAGCAAATCTAACAGAATGATTCTGTGATTGGCGATCCGCTAATCCGCTTACTCACGAACCGCTCCATGGGACATTACCCTCAGGGTGCCGTCACATGCGGCGTAACTTGCGTAAGCGTAACCTGCGTAATCTAGTAAATTTTCAAAATACGCATGTTACGTTATGCTATTCTTTGGTCGGGATTCACATAGGGCGTATTTTACGGAATTGCGTAAAATTTGTAACTAATACAACCAATCGCTGATTAGGGTTTCTGTTGTACTCTCTAACAGAAATGCTAATCGAATTTGCAATTGGTTTTCATAACCTACGCATTTCAAAAAGTACGCCTCGTGGGGAGCCCGACGCTTTGCTGACGGACTTTCTTATGTCACAAAGTGCATCATCGGATGTATGCTTCCTAATTTAGGAAGCGTCTACAGCGTCGTCACACCGCAATAACGCGCGTCACGGGAGCCCTAGTCATCCAAAGGTGCAAAATGACGAACAAACGAGACGAGCCCAACCGCGGACCCACATCAATGTAATACAGTGCACAGTCGAAGTCGGCAACACTTTCAAAAATATACAAAAGAAAACACCCGGTCATAAACGCGTCCGTAACGGTCGGGTGGTTCGTCGGAACACTACAGGTTCTATCGTAGGCGTAAAATTGCGTGAAGTAACTAGGCAGAAACTGATGTTTATGTGAAATGATATGATTGGTCGGCGCAAGTTACGCTTACGCAAGTTACGCCGCATGTGACGGCACCCTCAGGTTTCTCTCTGGCGAAAGTAATATATATGGTTAGGCTGAGTTTCCACTGAGCGCGTCACGCGTCGCGTCATCGAAGGAGAGAAAGAGAAGGATTGTGTATTTATATCTTAGAACATATAGGCCGGTATTCATAGTCAGTTCTTATTTGAAGACTGTCTTAAGTATGTCTTAAGACGCGAATGCAACCCTTTGATTGGTTCATGACATCTTAAGACTGTACTTAAGACGATCTTGAATATAAGAGACGTCTTTTCGTTCTGATACCACAGTACCGTTTGGTTAGGAGTGTTTCGGGCTGTGACGTCACATACAGATACCATTATTGAAAATGACATTTCACTGCCACTATGCAAAACACGAATAGTTCTTAGTATAATTCTGGCGGTAAATATGGATCAGAAAACAAAGTTAACCTTAATGATACAATTATTTGAAGGGGACACCTTTGATGATGACTTACTTACCATAGCATGTAGTAAGTCGGGAGTAGAGTCCTAGATATCAGAGAAGCGCAACCGATGTTCCGTATCCTGATTAGCTGACTGTCAGCCAATCATGACATTCATTCAGTGGTATTAAAAATGGCTGACTAATAGACGATTGGTGGATTTCATATTTCGTCTGCAAACGACGCCATTTTTAATACTTTCCTTAGTAATTTTGCGATACTGACTTAAGCCGGTTGCGCTTCTCTGACATCTAGGACTCTACGTAACCGTAACCATAAAGCCCATTCTACATTGGTCGTATCATCTAAGAATGGATTGAAATGGATTAAAATGGATTCAAATTTTCAGAAATACGGATTCATGAATGTTAAAATGAATCCTTTTCAATCCGAATACGTTTTTATTAATTTATAGGAATTGCATGAAGCATATATCTGTATACTTTTCAATCCGAATACGTTTTTATTCATTTATAGTAATTGCATGGAGCATATTTGTATACTTTTCAATCATAAAATAATATTAGCTTTTTCAGTGCGTTTGTGATCATAGTGAATACTGTTCAATTCATAATTTTGAATAGGAAACGCAGTTTTTCAATCCAGTTGTATCCAATTGAATTCAATTGAATCCAAAAAAAAGTTTTCGCTGTTTAAAATACGACAAAATCCAATCCACTTTAATCCATTCTCGGATGCTACGGTAGCATCGTAAACGTCGTGAAACTTTAAATTGACACATCGGATTGGCTGATGCAACAATTTGTGACCTGCGACGCCTACGATACGATCAATGTAGAAAGGGCTTAAAAAATCTCCTCCCGTCGTGTACAATGGCAATCCGTAGGTAAAATTGGTAAGATAACGTAACGTATATTTAATAAACTTGTTGGAGTTTGTATTTTGCATATCTTTTTTTTGCATATTTTCATTTTTTTTATTTTTTTTATTTTGGAGCAAGTTTTTTCGAAGCTCCAGAGCCCGATGGAAGACCCGTTTTTAATATTCGTCTCTCACGTGAAAAGCGATCACGCAATTGAGCCCATCGTCGTTCACAGTCAGCAGCTATACAAGGACACAAAAGACCCCGCTCAAATCTTATGGAAATTGGGTTTCGGTGGAGTTGTCTGAAATTTTTATATGTTGTAGCTTTCGGCATCCTGAACAAATGTCTTCATAGGCACAAGCCCCGGGAATTAATCCTTCGCTCGTTATGAGTCGGTGAAGTAAAGGTAAATTATAGGTAGGCCTAACTGCAATATCGGACTATAAGCGGCGGTCACGTACGTTCTCAACTGTGATTGGTCAATTCGCTTACTGATTACGTTTACGGCCTTATGTTTTTCTACGTGCCATGGGATTTAGAGTTCAAATATTGCAACTTTTAAGGCCATTCTACAATTGCGTAAGCGTAGTTGTAAAGAATTAACCAATCACAGTCGAATATTCTCCTCATATTTGACTGTGATTGGTTAATTCTTACAACTACGGCCGGTATTCATAGTCAGAAGTAATGTCTTAAGACGCGAATGCAGTTCTTTGGCCAGTATTCATAGTCGATTCTTATTTCAAGACTGCCTTAAGTAATGTCTTAAGATGCTAAAGCGGCCTTATGATTGGTTTGTAACTTTTCAAGACTGAACTTAAGACGGTCTTGAATATAAGAACTGACTATGAATACCGGCTTACAACCAGTTACAACTACGGTTACACAATTGTAGAATGGACTTAAACACAGGTCGCAGGGCACAAGACTAGAAACTAATCTAACATATTTTAGTTATAATAGATTGTAGGACGCAGGAAGTTGGGTGAATTTCAACTTTTGTGTCCTACGTCCTTCATATTTCTGTCTGCAACCTATGACAATCTGAAATACGTTTCACTGGCACGACCTGCGATCTGCGTTCTACGTCTTATGTAGAATGGCCTTAAAGCTATATTCATACAAACTTGCATAGCTGCATAAACGCATGCATAAAGAAAATTATCCAATCGCATTTCCCTTACAGAGATGCATGTAAAATGTGATTGGATAATTTTCATTATGTATATGTTTATGCGGTTATGCAAGTTTGTGTGGATATAACTTTAAGCCTTAAACTATAAGAAATGGACGAATCATAATCGATTATTCTCTTCGAATTCGACATGTACATACTAGAGGCCTAGAAAACAGAGATGCGACATTGCGTCGGTTGGGTTAGGTAACCACCGCCATTTTAATTCATTATAAGTGCTCTTGATCAATAAGCTGATGACAGTTGATGCAAAAGGTAGAAAGATTAGATTAGGTTAGGTTAAGTCCGATATTAAATATTCACACAAATAAGAATACTTACACCATAATAATAGTTCTTTATTGCACTTCGACACTGTATTGTCTAAATTTTTCTCTCTATATATATGTACATACGTTATAAAACTATATCTATTAGATGCAATAGTGAATTAAAATGGCTCTCTGACCACGTGATTTAGACAGCCAATCAAGCCATACCCTTCAATGACGCATCTCTGTTTTCTAGGTCTCTAAACTACACTAATACATAAACACGTCATACGCCGATACGCCAAAGCTTGTGCGTTATTTACGTATACAACTTAAGTATGTCGTAAAATGTTACGGCAGTGCTTGTGCTTAGACCCTTATGTATACATTCTGCTTTGATTATCCCGAATCTACGATAGAGTTTTAAGCATTAAGCCATAAGAAATGGACGAATCGTAGTCGATTATTCTGTTCGAGTTCGACTCTAATTGATTAATTTATTACGGCTTAAAGCTTAAAACACCTATTGTAGATCCGGGTTAATTGCATTATATGCGAAATACTACAACGTCTCTTCATTCGTTCAAATTCAGAGGTCCGTAAAACCCCAAAAATGGCTGACAGTCACATGATCGGTGACCACCGACATAAAAAAAGCCGACAGCTACTGTCGCAAATGTAGTTATACTGTGACTAAACCTTAAGTTGTAAGAAATTAACCACAGTTGAATGTGTGTAGAGGACAATCAATTATAATTGGTCAATTTCTTAAGGCTTAAGCCTCAATGCATAAGTTTTACGCCTTAAAATCTCAATGTAGAAGCCGCTTTAGATGTTAGAGTAATTTGCTTCTTCATTAAGTTAAAGCCCATTCTGCAATGGGCAGTAGCAGTAGTGAATGAAGAAGTAGGCGTAGAAATCAACA